ACTAGAATGTCCAGAATCCAAAACAGAAAATAAATATTGCCAATGATTAGCTCATTAAATAATGATAATACGGATTGCACCTGCAGGTAATTAATAAACAAGTCTGTCCAAAAAATTCAACTAGAGTCAAATTCCTAAAAAAAAATTGAAGGGGAGTGTTGGCGCCCGCAGGCAATTGCATTTTAGAAAACCAAAAACAAATTTAGAAAAAATTATACAATCAGAACACTTATCAATGAGTTCAAACTAAAATCTTCAGATTCATAAACAGAAAAACAACTGACGATGATAAGCTCATTAAAGAATGATAATACAGAGGGCACCTGCTTGTTAACAATATTCAAGTCTATACAAAAAATTCAACTAGTGTCAAATTTATAAAAAAAAAATTGAAAGGGAGTGTTGGCGCCCGCAGGCAAAAGCATTTTAGAAAACCAAAAAAAAAATTATAAAAAATTATACAATAGGAAAACACATTAAAGACTTCAAACTAAAATAACCAGAATCTTATACAGAAAAGACAATTGTTGACAATGATAAGCTCATTGAAGAATGATAATACAGAGGGCACCTGCTGTTTATCAATATTCAAGTCTATACAAAAAATTCAACTAGTGTCAAATTTATAAAAAAAAAAATTGAAAGGGAGTGTAGAAGCCCGCAGGCTATTGCATTTTAGAAAATCAGAAAAAATTATACAGTAGGAAAACACGTTAAAGAGTTCAAACTAAAAGTCCAGAATCTTAAACAGAAAAACAACTGACGATGATTAGCTCATTAAAGAATGATGATACAGAGGGCACCTGCTTGTTAACAATATTCAAGTCTATACAAAAAATTCAACTAGTGTCAAATTTATAAAAAAAAAATTGAAAGGGAGTGTTGGCGCCCGCAGGCAAAAGCATTTTAGAAAACCAAAAAAAAATTAGAAAAATTATACAGTAGGAAACACATTAAAGAATTCAAACTAGAATGTCCAGAATCCAAAACAGAAAAAAAATATTGTCAATGATTAGCTCATTAAAAAATGATAATACAGGTTGCACCTGCAGGTAAACAATAAACAAGTCTATACAAAAAATTCAACTAGAGTCAAATTCCTAAAAAAAAATTGAAGGGGAGTGTTGGCGCCCGCAGGCAAAAGCATTTTAGAAAACCAAAAAAAATTTAGAAAAATTTATACAGTAGGAAACACATTAAAGAGTTCAAACTAGAATGTCCGGAATCCAAAACAGAAAAAAAATATTGCCAATGATTAGCTCATTAAATAATGATAATACAGATTGCACCTGCGGGTAATTAATAAACAAGTCTGTCCAAAAAATTCAACTAGTCAAATTCCTAAAAAAAAAATTGAAGGGGAGTGTTGGAGCCCGCAGGCAATTGCATTTTAGAAAACCAAAAAAAATGTAGAAAAAATTATACAATCAGAACACATATCAATAAGTTCAAACTAAAATGTCCAGAATCCAAAACAGAAAAAAATTTTGCCAATGATTAGCTCATTAAAGAATGATAATACAGATTGCACCTGCAGGTAATCAATAAACATGTCCGTCCAAAAAATTCTACTAGAGTCAAATTCCTAAAAAAAAATTGAAGGGGAGTGTTGGCGCCCACAGGCAATTGCATTTTAGAAAACCAAAAAAAAATTTAGAAAAAATTATACAATCAGAACACATATCAATAAGTTCAAACTACAATCTTCAGATTCATAAACAGAAAAACAACTGACGATGATAAGCTCATTAAAGAATGATAATACAGAGGGCACCTGCTTGTTAACAATATTCAAGTCTATACAAAAAATTCAACTAGTGTGAAATTTATAAAAAAAAAATTGAAAGGGAGTGTTGGCGCCCGCAGGCAAAAGCATTTTAGAAAACCAAAAAAAAAATTATAAAAAATTATACAATAGGAAAACACATTAAAGACTTCAAACTAAAATGTCCAGAATCCAAAACAGAAAAAAATATTGCCAATGATTAGCTCATTAAATAATGATAATACAGATTGCACCTGCGGGTAATTAATAAACAAGTCTGTCCAAAAAATTCAACTAGTCAAATTCCTAAAAAAAAATTGAAGGGGAGTGTTGGAGCCCGCAGGCAATTGCATTTTAGAAAACCAAAAAAAAATGTAGAAAAAATTATACAATCAGAACACATATCAATAAGTTCAAACTAAAATGTCCAGAATCCAAAACAGAAAAAAATTTTGCCAATGATTAGCTCATTAAAGAATGATAATACAGATTGCACCTGCAGGTAATCAATAAACATGTCTGTCCAAAAAATTCTACTAGAGTCAAATTCCTAAAAAAAAATTGAAGGGGAGTGTTGGCGCCCACAGGCAATTGCATTTTAGAAAACCAAAAAAAAATTTAGAAAAAATTATACAATCAGAACACATATCAATAAGTTCAAACTACAATCTTCAGATTCATAAACAGAAAAACAACTGACGATGATAAGCTCATTAAAGAATGATAATACAGAGGGCACCTGGAGTTTATCAATAGTCAAGTCTATACAAAAAATTCAACTAGAGTCAAATTCCGAAAAAAAAATTGAAGGGGAGTGTTGGCGCCCGCAGGCAAAAGCACTTTAGAAAACCAAAAAAAAATTAGAAAAAATTATACAGTAGGAAACACATTAAAGAGTTCAAACTAGAATGTCCAGAATCCAAAAAAGAAAAAAAAATATTGCCAATGATTAGCTCATTAAAAAATGATAATACAGGTTGCACCTGCAGGTAAACAATAAACAAGTCTATACAAAAAATTCAACTAGAGTCAAATTCCAAAAAAAAAAGTTGAAGGGGAGTGTTGGCGACCGCAGGCAATTAAATTTTAGAAAACTAAAAAAAATTAAGAAAGAATTATACGATATTAAGCCAATTTGAAGGGTTCATACACTAAATGTCCAGAATCTTAAATAGAAAAACAACTGACGATGATTACCTCATTAAAGAATGATCATACAGAGGGCACCTGCAGGTAATCAATAAACAAGTCTGTGCAAGAAATTCAACTAGAGTCAAATTCCTAAATAGAAATTGAAGGTAGGAGGATAATTGCAATTTTTGGAAGGTGTTTCAATGCCTTGTTGGTAATGCCATCCTCACCTGGTGCTTTTGCTGAAGGGAGTCCTTTTATTATGTCAGATACTTCTTTCGGCGTAACATAGTCTTCTGATTGAGGATTTACATGGTCGCGTAGTGTTTGGATTGAGTTGGTCACTTCAGGTCATGGTGGGCCCGGATTGTTTTGGAACTGGGCGGACATTGTGTCTGCGAAAAGTTCTGCCTTTAAGTTAGTGTCGTAGATTTTTGTCCCATCAGGTGCTTTGAGAGGTTGACATTTTGGTTGTTTGTGGAGGAGTCGTCGGTTCAATTTGTATATAGATTTGTTTTTAAAATTGAGAGTGGCAGTAAAAGAATTCCATTCAGATTGTCTGTGGCGAGTGAGGATATCTTTGACATGGGAAACCTGTGCGTTGTACAGCGTTTTCACCCGAGGGTCGCGCGTACGTTGCCAGTGTTTCCGTAGTAAACGCTTGGTATCAATCTCAAGCAGTATGTCATCAGGTGGTGATTTTGGTTGGTCTAGTGTTCGCGATTCGTAGGAACAGTTTTTGATCTCTGATTGGATGACTTTGGTGAGTTGGTCGATGTTTTTGTTTATGTCATCGATGGTGGTGATGTGAATGTTTTTTATTTGGAGAGTTAGTTCGGTTTGGAACTTTCTCCAATTTATACGTTTCCTTGCTGATGGTGGCCCGCACATTGAAGGTCGGGATGATAGGTTTAGCATCTGAGGGTTAGGGTCTGACGATAATTCGCAGTGATTGGTTAGGAGGTAGTGCGTGTTTGGCAAGTCTAGCAGGAAAATATCGAGGATGTCTGGTCGATGGGCCGCGATGTAGGGATAGTGAGTTGGCGAGTCAGAGGCAACGACCGAGTATCGGTTTACCCGCTCGGCATGTTGTGCAAGGGTCTTGCCTGATTTGTTACGTTGTGGGCATTGCCAGTCTGTGTGCTTAGCATTTAGGTCGCCGCCAATTATGAGAGGACCATCGTGGTTGGTCAGCGCGTCTAAATCTGTTGGTTTGACTGTAACGCCTGGGGTTTTGTATACTGCAGTTACCTGGGCGATGTTGTTTTCGAGTTTTATATTAACTGAGGTCGAGTCGAGTTCGGTTTGAATATTTACGGGTTGATGTACAATGCCACGACGGATAAGCACTGCGGTTCCCCGTTTGGAGGTGTTCTTGGCCGTGGTTGGCGATCTGTATGGTAAGTATGAAAATTTGGGATTTTGAGCTGAGTTTTGAGTCGAGGTGGGTTTCTCCAAGCAGGATTATATTTACGTTGTGAATTTTTACAAATGCTGTCAGTTCTGATATTCGGTTTCCGATACCGTTGCAGTTCCATGATAAGATTTTTAGGTCATTCATCATAGGATGTAGGAATGGCGTTTATGATTCTCAGGACTGTTGTGATGACTGCACTTTTTGATTTCTTCACTTTCTTGAGCTGTTGTAAGGAGGTCTTTGATTATTTGTAGGAGCTTGGATGCGTTTATTGTAGGTTCGGGCTTTTCTGTTTGGTGTTTTGTTACATTTGCGTAAGATTTGATTTTTGATGCTATGGTGGTTTCGTGTGTTGCGGGTAGTGGTATAGGCGTTGGCATCGTTGTCAGCACGGATTTGTTTCTTGCTTCTCTGGAGTGGTCTATTTTTCCTTTGTAAATATCTGTGTAGTATGGGCAGCCCCTATAGTTTGAGGTGTGTTTTCCATTACAGTTGCAGCAGGTTGGGGTATCTTCTTTCGGTTTCTTGCATTCTTTGTTTGAATGGTTTGCTCCACACTTAACGCATCTTGGTGGGTGTCCCCACTGAAGTGATGAGTGGTCAAATCTCTGGCATGAAAAGCATTGGGCGAGACCCGTTGATTTATATGGTTCTATTTTTACTCGGACGTAGAAAAGTTCGGTGGTTTCAAATATTTCTTTCACATTTTCTGTGCGTTTTAGGGAGACCATGTGGATGGATTGGAAGTCTTTTATCATTTTTTACAAAAGCTCGGACAAAATTTGGTTTGAAACCTTCCTCTAGAAGTTCTTCCATGAGTTCATCGTCAGTAACGTCAAGTGGAACACCTTTAATTACAATATTGAGAGATTGTTCTTTGGGTAATGCAAAAGTGTGGAAGCTGATTTTGTTGATGGTCATGAATTGTTGGACGAGTCTGAATGAGGATTCTTCAGGGCAGTTTATTTGGATTTGTAACGGAATCGATGTAGTTTTTGCGGTCACTTGGTCGAGACATTGAGTTTTTGCGTACATGGCTTTTGCTATTTTCCGCCATGGATGGTCAGTGGTTGTTTGGATCAGAATTGGTAGCATGCGGGTGGAGCGTTTATTGTCGGATTGTGGGTCATTTTTAAGTGATTTTTTGTTTGTCTCGTCAGTGGTATCATTAGAATCAGAATACTCGGATCCATCCACAGAAACGGAACGAGAACGGTTGTTGCTGTTAGTGGTAATATCCGTGTCCGGAATTGATGAACAATTGGTGGCCATGGCCAGCTTCTTCAGAGTTATTGAATTTTCAGGAGGTGAGACAGTGCTAGATTGGCTTGCTTTGCGTTTTTTCGACGTGGTAGATAAGTCTTTAAGGCATGAGTTTAATGGAAATGATGGTGGTGAGAAGGCCCGATTACGACCCTTCTTATCGGTGGGATAAGGTGGTGTTGATTTTCGTTTGTTGCGTCCGACGCCACCACGATGAGTCATGGTCGGCGAAAATACTCGCGGATTGGTAACCTTATGCAACCGGTGCGTGACCCGGCCTCGGTAATCCCTCAGGTACCTTGCCTCGTGGTCGAGCAGGGGGGGAATATAAAGTAATTTTCTACTTACGTAAGTCTATGCTGTGCTGGATGACTGGAAGTCGTCGTGCGGTAGATTGGTTCGTGTCAGGAGCGTTGGCGGAGAGCTGCATGTGTAAATTTTTCATTTTTCATTCTTCATTCACCTGGTTGTCGGTGTTTAAAAAATAAATATAGAAAGACTGGCAGTAGTTAAATAACAAAAAAATTGTGGAGGGGAACATGGAAGCCTTTAGGCAAATTAATATCATAAATCAAAAAAAATGAGATAAAATTCAACATTAAATATTGTCTAAAAACTCGACAAAATTGAAAAATTTTATAGAAAAAAAATTGTAAAGGGAAAGTGGCACTCACAGGAAAACGAGTTTTAAAGAGCAAATAAAAAAACAAAAAAAAATTTAGGAACACACATTAAAGAGTTTCAAATACTATTCAAAATAATTAGTTCATTAAAAATGATAAGACAGAGGGCACCTGCAGATTATCAATATTCAAGTCTATACGAAAAATTCAAGTAGAGTTAAATTCCTACCAAAAAATTGAAGGGAAATGTTGGCATCCGAAGGCAAATGCATATTAGAAAACAAAAAAACAAAATTTAGAAGAAATCATACAATAGGACCACATAATAAGGAGTTCAAACTAAAATGTCCAGAATCTTAATAAAAAAAAAACTATTTAAAATATTTAGTTAATTTATGAAAGATTATTCATAGGTTACCTACAGGTTATCAATGTTCATGTCTATACGAAAAATTCAAATATAGTGAAATTCCCCCCAAAAAAATCGAATGGTTGTGTTGGCGCCGATATTCAAATGCATATTACAAAACAAAAAAAACTTAAAAAATATATAGGTACGAACTAGAAACTGCATTCTATAACCTCCAGGTTTGTAAATTATATAGTAAGTACACAGCTACTCAGTTTACTCGCTGGTATAGCCGGTTAGTGTTTAAAAATATTTATACAAAACAATCTACTAGAGTTAAATGACTCAAAAAAATAATTGTATGAGGAACCTGGGTGAAATAATAATTCTAAACAAAAGAGGAAGCTGGAAGCTAAATACTGCAGTACATTTTAACCACAATCCAAAAACTAGGTATTGTTTACATTAAAAGAAACGAACAGTTATTATGATCAGAGGTGTATCACCGTAATATTATATTAGAAAATGTATAAAAATGAATTCAATTTATTAAGGATGCAAAACAATTAAATGGGAACAGTGGCGTATACAGAAATAATTTTTTGTTATTTTTCAACAGGCTACGAAACATTATAACTGATAAGTTATAAGTTATAATAGTACCTAAGAAAATATATTGTTGTTCTATTTAAAAAGACTGTAATTTCGGGGATGGATGGGCTGCAGCCCACTGTGCCCACCCCCTATATACGCCACTGAATGGGATGAGGTCCCGCACGGACTCTTGTATGTGATTGTAATTTATGAAGGACATAAAAATATAAAATAATGTTTAATTAAAAATAATATTGTGTTTAAGCTGGGTCTACAGTCAATTTTAAATTACAAACTATAAAGTCTTAATATAAATAAAAATATAGTCAGATAGGTATCTGTTTTGGTCTTTGTAAATATGCGCGGAAAAAATTAGATTTAGTACCTACCTACAATGTAAAAAAAAGTGGGAAGGAAGACTTGAAAATTCTTTGACACTAAGATATTAAAACACAAAATCATATTTTAAATTGAAACTATTGATTTTATACATTTTCTATTTAAAAAAACTTATAAGTATTGAAAACCTTATAAAAACTAAAAAACCTAATAAAATAATATTTTATTTTATTTTAAAATACATTTCATAATTTTTTGTGGTAAAAAATGCATTAATTAAGGTTAGCCGAGCTTAAGTTTTTAATTATACTGATACAACTCTAGCTGGCAGTCTTTAAGACCGTGTTAAAAACTATGATAATTAGTTAAAGTCTAATTTCCCGACCTATCCTAACCTAACGCCAGAGCCGCTTGATCATGCATTTTGTGGTTCTCTGAACCACCAAAAATTATGGGGCTGGGGGGGGTGTTATTTTAATAGGTAGGTACTTGGTCTTGGTAATCACTAATCAGTGTCTGGTATGGTCATATAGGTAATATAAAAATGGTTAGTTTGATGGCCAATTCATTATTAGCAGCAAATATATACAATCACATAGGTACATTAACAATCAAATTATGAAGTTATAAACAGCTTTATGACGAAGAAGGTGGGTAAGTGGATGTCACTCTGCTGTTCAGTATCTTACAAGTGGGTCACTGTATAATGGATGGTATTAATTTGAATTCAATGATATAATATCATTGTATACGAAATACGATTCTGAGAGGTGACAGTTTGTCAGTGTGGATATCTTATATTTATATTGTTAAATATTATTACTTATAATTAATACGGTAGCCGGTTGAATTAATATTATAAAAAGGTGGGCAAGTGGATGTCGCTCTGCTGTACAGTAGGTTACAAGTGGGTCACTGTAATGGATGGTGTTAAATTTGAATTCAACGATATAATATCATTGTATAAGAAAAACGATTCTGAGCGAAAACGGTCAGTCAACCTATGATATTACGAAGTAGGTATATATTTGATGATATTAAGGTGAATAAAGTAATTTATATATAATCTATTTACGTGGAATCTTGTTTTAAATTTTCAATCCTTAGCTATAAAAGTTGAACGTTTCACAAATTTTTAACTACAAAATTTATATTAAATTTTAAATTTGATAAATTTTGTCAAAATTTGAATCTTAAATACTTATAAAAAAAATTGTGATTATGATTTTTAATATTTTTCAACTGCTCTTGTAACAATATATTAGGAGCTTTGCATTAAATTTTCACGCTTTTTTACCCAATAAATAAAATGTTATTGATATTTATAGAAAAAAAAACTAAATATATTGAAGACTGACAATGCCCGTAAACAACTCAAAAAGAGTCAAATTATTTTCAAAATTGTATGGTGAATAGAAAATGCCAATATAAACATTCAGTGAAATTTTAAAGTATCTACAGTCATTCGTTTTATAATTACAATAAAATAAGAAAATAGTTTCATGAGAAATCGAGTGAATATCAAATATTGTAAAAATATAAGTTTCAAACGCTCATAAAAATTTAATTTGAGTTTCTTGTAGAAATTTTTTTTTTGATAAAGGTAGACAAACTAACGAGAAATCTTGTATTACTTTTTCAGACCTTAGATTTAAAAAGAAAACATTTTAGGAATTTCTAACTCAAAATAATTTGCACATTTTCGTGAATTTTACGTATTTTGTCAATATTTGAACTTAAAATGCTTATAAAAAAAAACTGTGACTATGGATTTTTAGTAACTCGTCTAATATGCTACCTACCATAAAATGGTATCTATCAAAATACTGTATGCGTGTAGTATGCTACCTACCATAGTTATTTTTATTTCGTTTCATTTTATCGCGGGAAAGTACATTTGAGTCATTACGATAAGTAACATATTATAACAGGTGTACAAAATTATAGCTTATTATAGCCACTATGATAACTTTACTGATCCACCAAGTCCCATGGGCCATGATAACTTACTTTTAGATATATTATTTTAGTCTATGTTGTGTTTGTGTTGTGTTCGGGTATGCGTCCTATTCGTTGCGAGTTTAAATTTTTATGTGATGCTGACGATATTGACGATGATTATTCAACTCAAAAAAATTACGGTACTCGCATTCAAGGTCCATGGATTTTTGGTATGTGTTATAAAAATGTTGATGGGGTTCTAGAACGAAGATTTTTTAAAGTGAAAAAAAGAGATAAGGCAACTTTATTACAAATAATACTAAATGAAATAGAACTAGGATCAATTATTTATTCAGATCAATGGCGAGCATACAGTTATACCTATACCTTAAAAGATATAGACTATCATCATGAAACCGTCAATCGTCGTTCCGAGTTTTTTGTTGATCCTACAACAGGCGCACAAACACAAACGATCGAGTGTATATGGAGATATGTCAAAACTAAATCCAGAATTAAAACCCGAGGAGCAACAGATTTGTTAGACCGACAGTTAAAAGAAGAATGGTAATACGCAACACGACTTATTAGAAGTTTTCTGGGATGACCGATGATGTAAAAATAATATACAATGTATGATAATGTATTGTAATGACATATTATAAAGTACTTGACAACAATAAATTAATAAACTATTTAGTAATAAACTGTTATTAATATTATTGTCAATTTGTTATTGATCAATAATCCGTAAACTTTTTGTGGTAGGCATCGTTATACGATAGGTAGCATACTAAGCACCAACGAAGTAGCGGTAGGTAGCATATTAGACGAGTACCGATTTTTAATATTTTTCATTTGTCTTTGAAAAAAATATATTAGGAGCCTTCTATTAAATTTCCAACCTTTTTTAAACAAAAAATAAAATTTTATTGATATATAGAATAAAAAATTTAAAAAAATTGGAAACTGAAAATTTCCTTAAACAGCTCAAAATAATTCAAAATATTTTGAAAATGTTGTGGTGTATAGGAAATACTAATATGAACATTCAGTCAAAATTTCATCTATTTACGGTAATTTGTTTTAGGGTTAGGTACACCAAAAACCAGTCGGAGGTGTCACCGACCACCGTTCTTCATCCCCCCACCTGTGACACCACGGGAGGGACGACGATCACGGCATCGTAGGACGTACGAGGTTCCAGAGCGGCGGACTCCGGTCGGCTCGCCAAGACGGGCACGCACGTGTATCCAAGGGCGGCGGACTCCGGTCGGCCCGCCAAAACGACGACCATCCCACAAAACCGAAAATTGCATATTTAATGTTAACTATTTAACTGTTAAATGTCATGTATAGAGGGGGGGTAAGTCGGG